TAAACACCCCTCGTATATTCATAATTAATGATTAAATTGCCGAGGCTTTGCCCCTCTCTTTATTGAAATACCTAGTTTTATCCAAGTTTACCTACGATTTTCCAATGTTTGTAATAAGGCGGTTTTTCACAGTTCATTTTTCATTTAATGTGCATATACCCAATAAAACCCTATATTTTGGGTAAATATTTGTGGGACTTAAACAAAAAAAAAACGCTGGTTTTCGATGGTTTGTATTTTGGCTTACTGCTAATTATGTGAATTCTTACAATTTTTAATAATTATTTTGCACAGTTAATTATTTATAGAGCTGTTAGTTTAGCATTAAAAAATGACAAGGTTTTTTAAAATTTCTATTTCTTAGTAACTGAGGTGAGGAAGTGCTTGCAATCGGTAAACTGTATTTAAACAAAACTTTCCAGTAACTTTTTTCTCTTGTCATTGACGTTACAAAGTTTATTACTTGAAAAAATATCGTTCGCGCGTTTCAATAAATACTTTTTGTCTATCGCTTTATAATCGATTTTACTTTTTTAACCGTGTTTTTCAAACCCTTCCCACCCGATGGCCGGCTAAACTTTTGAGACGTTGTAGGTATTGTTGTATGCGTATGCGGCAAACGACGTCGAAACTCTTATGTGCTGCTGTTTGTTTACCTCGCCTCCTTAATTATACAAAATAAGTATATATTATTATTATTATACCTTTGGCGTGTAAACATAGTTTTCGTAGGACTTACAACTTGTAAAACTTGCAAATGTGTTGTGTGCACGTGTGTGTGTGTGTGTGTGTGCTCAAAAGTTATTTCGGTATTCAAAGAAACAACGAAATTATAAAACAACAACCCGTAACGACGTCCTTTTAAAACTACTCGCAAACTCCGAAGGTTTTAAATTTTTAATACATTTCGGTTCGTGTTTCATAGTGGTTTTCGAAACGTGCCCGTTTAATATTGTTATTATTTTTCGTAATTTTTTCTCGGGCAAAACAAAAAAAAATAATAAAATATATAAACCCCGGGTTTATATAAAACACACACACACACACCAGCATACGCCCGTAGATGGGTCGTACACGCCTCTATAGACCTAACCCAAGCAAAGGCTTACAAGCACATCACACACACACACACACACCGGCTTTTGGGATTGTTGTGTATTAAATTCCGGCGGCACCGTATTTGCTGCAGCCGCTATTCTTTATGTGTATTATCTGTGTCTGTGTGCTCTTCCTAATCTCAATTAAATTGCGCCCGGATCGACAGTGGCGCGTGATGCTCCCTGTCATTCCCCGAGGACACCACAAACAGCAGCAGAGGTTGGGGTTGGGGGGGGGGAGGAAACAAATTCCGAAATCTTTTTCTTTTCGGAATTCTCCGTCAAACGTGTACGTGACCCTTCTTCGGTGATCATCATAAGAATAATATAGCTAGTGTCCTGCGTACACAGTCTCCGGCTTGTCGCAGTTATTGTTTTTCATACACATCCGATCACCGTATAATAACCCAATAAAAATAATATATTTTACGTATCCCGGCGGGGTTTGGATTTTTTGTCTACTGGCGAGGGGTATGGGCGGCGCCTATTGTGTATATTAGAATATACAAAGTGTTTGCCGACATTGAATTTCAAAAATAGTAGCTTGTTAATTAGTCGTTTTTAATTTAACAAACAAAAACTAGGCAGCGGTGTTTTTAAAATTTGGAATCTTGTAAACAACGTTTGATCGATTTTTCGTTATTATTAAATGAAAATTACTTTGACAAGACGTCTAAAAGTTACTACACAATCAAATGAAAATCAACGTCCTTCGCTCTAGAACAGTTACTACTTATGCAATCATTAATCAGGAAAGTTTATAATTTAGTTTGGTTACAATTCGTAACTCTAATTACTAATATTGTTTTCAAATATATATGTATATCATAGCATAGTACAGTATAGACAGATCTAAATATGTTTTAAGAATCATAACGCCTTCCAAAATCGCAGAATCCTGCCAAAAATGTTTTTGTTCGGTATACTGTACATTTTATATTTTATTTATAAAATTAGATATTATCAGTACGGACAAATTAATAATAATTAATATGGATTGCCAAATTGTAAACCAAAAACGTTTGGAGTGCAGTAGTGTTGGAAATGAAAAATATCACTGTCTGCTATGTATTTATATGTTTATTTAAATTAGCGTTGTGTACATGAGGTCGGAATACGAAAATAAAATCTCCGGGTTGTCGTTAATTAACTGAAAAATATATCAAGTCAAAACAAACGTGTACCATTGTGTAACGACGACGACGACGATAACATAACGGGTGCTCTGCTCGACGTCTCCATATTTCACTATTTAATTAACTAGACGGGGGCGAAAGGACGATTGTCGACGACAGCGAAACTCGTCGACTGTACTCGTTGTTTGTTGTTTTTTTTTTCTTCTTATGTTTTTTCTTGTTTGAAATTACACGAAAGCCAATAATGGAGACGTTTCCCGACCGCCGAACGGCAACACCACCGCGCGCCTCCTTGTTCGTCGCCGCCGCCGCTGTTCCGTCTTATTCGTTTCCACGCGCCGTTTACGATTGTCACAAACAATTTTTTCTCGCCTCGCCGGTTATTCCTGTCCCTGGGCCCCCGGACCATTATTAATTGGCCCTAGAGTGTTAATTTGCTCCTCCTCCCCCCCCCCTCGAACATCCGTCTCGCGTAATTCCGACTTCTTAGTATAATAAAATAGAACCGTATATACTACTTAATCATAGTACCGCCGCTACAACCGTCAAAAACATTCGAAAATTGATTTTAATTTGAAACCCTTAAAAATACCGCGGCCGCTTCTCGATCCCTGGATCGCCGCCAAAAGCGATAATTTTGCGAAAAATTCTCTGAAAAATTTAATTATTTTAGATTAAAAATATATCTACATAAAGTTAAAGATTCACTAATAACATTCATTAGAGTTTTCACCCATTGTTGATAAAAATGTTATCAAATAACTTTTTCTCAGTTTTATAAAACAAAAACTGCGATGTAAGATTTGGAAACGGATATCGATGTGGATTTTTTTCCCTAGGCTTATCTATGATTTTACTAACTTTGGTTGATTATAAGGTTTTTTTTTAAAAAAAATTGCTTACACTTCAGACGTCCTCTTAAACGGGCCATCGCGATAACCGTAAAATGACGGTACAAAGTGTCGTGTATTAAAGAAAACCGGCAACAATATTGTGAAAAATGATCAAAGGAGTTGTTGAAGAAATACCCGTTTTGTCGAAGCACGACAAACCAATAAACGTCAACATTGTAGTAAACACCGAGCAAGTATACAACAGTGGAATGAGTATGGCGGTAGGCTGGGACGGGGTTTTAATACCTATTTCGAACTTTCTAGAAATTAATATTTAATCCTCCGCGAGAGGACCCCGAGCCAAAGTTACACAGCTTAAGGTTGACTGCTATTCAACCGAATATAATATATGGAACGGGTCATGGTAAAATGGGAAACGCGGTGGTGTACTCGATGAATAGAAAATTCGGATTAAAAAAATATATATGTATCCAAAACTCACATATTAACATCCACGTGCGTACATATATTATAACTTACTCGTATGTGTAGTATAATATACTACATAACATGCGAATCGAAAATAATGTGTACACAAATCCTTAACGACTGCGCCACGGCAGTACACTATACTTACATTTTTTTTCTATGTAAAACGTGCGACTGCAGATAAACGCTTCTAAAAAGTATTAATTTTTACACGTATAATAATATATGCGGCCGTTTGCGATAAATAATTTTAAAAATCGGCCAGCAAAATAAGATAAATTTAAAACGCCGGTTGGTTCACTGCGGCTATGGAATCTACTACCCACTTGGCATGATGATTATTATGAATTGCGGCAGTTTAAACCTTGCCCAGGGTGTGTGAGGATTGCATTAAAATAATAAAATGTACACATCGCGAACAACACGGACGTTTTTTTGCGTACACGTCACTGCGATAACTGCTGGAGAAGTGTTATGGGGTGGACAGCAAGAGGAGGAAGGGGTTGGCCAGCAGAAACACGTGTTACCCGCTTGGTCGGTGAGTGATTAATGAATTAGTTATTGCGAGTTGCTGCTTGTGCACGCGGCCTAGGAAAGGATACGCGTGACAGCATTCGGATGTCTAACGTAATTAGAATCGCCGGAACCGCCAACGAGGAATGAAATAGTGATTCCCTCTTGGGAAATATATACCCGGGCTCTCCTTGTTGAAGAGGTGGGAGCAAGAGTGCGAAGAAATGAGAGGAGAGGTATCGTCCACCGTCGTCAAAGTCGCACTCCGATACAACTTCCTTTCGATCGCAAGTAATTCCCATACAGAAGTTTGACGGCGAAAAAATTGTATACACACCTAGATAGATATTTATTAGAACGTGCCTTTTGGGAATTATACGTGGCAAAGTGACATGTCCTGTATAGCTGAACTAAATGAACAACACCCTTGTTGATATAAATGAGTAATTAAAATACCAAGGTAAAAATATAATCGTAAAATGAAAAACAACAGGTACGTTTTATAATTTGGCGTTATTTTTGATTTTGTATATTAAACTGTTATGACTAATATTCCGTTATAAAAGCATTTGGATCTTGAATTTTCTCTAGCCCAATCAACGATTGAATCAAAACTAAAAAGATGTTACGGCATTTGTATAAAAATCACGTAATTAAAATAATTATATTATGAAATATTATATGATATTATGAAATAATTATAAAATAACTTTTCTCGCTGAACAAAAAATAGACAGCTAAAACTTTGTAGTTGACTTTACTGAATATATAAATATATTTATACTTTCAAGTAATTTAACCAAAATTGATAATATTAAGTATTTTTAAGCCATAGACATGATAATTATGAACTAAAAATGTCAATAGAAACCGGCATACAGTACAAAACAAGTCGTATAGAAAAATGTATACGTATAATAAAAATATTTATTATATAAATAATTTTATTACAAGATCGTTTCAACAAGACAGTCCAGATTGTCGTCAGCGATCTCTAATAAAATAATGGTAAAATCAACTTACAGAATAACATTGAGAATATACAATATCGTCTTATTTGCATTGAGGAGACGTCGTCCCTGTATTGTTTTAAAAACGTCAAACTGGCGACGTTTTGTAAAATCAATTTATAAGTACTCGTCGGCCGTCCCGTAGACGATAGGGCAGTACATGGCGGCGATTTGGGCGTAAGGTTGCATCGATCCGACTAATATCGGCTGGTCTTTGGTCATTTTGTTCCAAAAGTGCACCCCTACGCTATTGTTCAATGCCTTCATTACCGCGTAGTCGTCCGTCTCGTGAAACAACTTTGGCCACTCGTACCAAGGTATCGGGCTAAACACATCTGCTTGGTATATGGTCAAATCGCCACAATTGGCGTTGCCGGCGTTGACGTCGGGCAATTGGTCGGTTTCACACACAGCTCTCGTCAAACTCGTGATTAGAAACGGACCGTTTTGCGTCCATTCGTCGCCTACAAAGCCACGTCTGCGAAATAAGAAACATTAGAGACACACGGAGAGTGGACTCGTGCAAATGTGTGTGTGTGTGCGCTTACATAAACATTTCGATTGCCCTTGCCGCGATACTCTTGTTTTGCAAGCCTATCACACCGCTTCCCAACATGGGTCCGGGTTTTTCGGCGATCACGAAATTCTCCATGGGCACCGGTCGCAAGGACACCACGTCTATATCCATGTAGACTCCGCCGAATTTCCATAATGTCAACAGTCGCAACAAGTCACTGTGCTGCTCCACCGGCCACCGACCTTTGTCCATTGTTCCGGACTTGACAAATGCCTCTGCCGGTGTGTCGGAAACGTATCCGTAAAAGTCAACGTGTCTTATCTTAACGTTTTTGTAATGTGCGATTAACCGAAAAACGGCTGTCATGTTGTGCGTGCACTCCAACCTCGGACTGAGCACTAAGACGTACACCTGACGGTCGGGATTGGCTCTAAAACGTTAAAAATGTTGGTTTATAAAGTACACTCTTAATTTGTATTATTAAAAGTACGTCTTAAGGCGAGTGTGTATTGAACACAACACGTATACCTTTTTGACTGCACGAAATAATTGTTACCAGTCATTGTTACCAACATTATCAGTTATCACTGATTATTAACATTATCACTGATTTTTTATTGATTTTTCACTGATAATAAATAAAAACTAATTATAACAATATATTATAATAACTTAATTTGTTATCAATCTAATTGTATTTTATTGTGGATTTGTAATCGCAATGACTGATATGATGTAACCAGCTGTGACCAGCGCGGCCAAAAGTTGAATCTATTCAACTTTGCGGTAACGTCTTGGTAGACACGATCAAAATGTATCTACCATGATAATATAAGCCAATCAGTAAAGAGTATTTTACACGAAACAAAACGACACGACGAGTTGAGGACTAGTCTTTACTCTTCAAAAATACTCGTAAACCCGTGTAGATCAAAGCCCGAATGTAGATTTTATATACTGAATGAGTACAATAGTTATAATAGTTATTTTAATTTTACATACATACATAATGATAAATGTCATTTTTTTAAATAGCATTACATATATCATCTGTCATTTGCATAACAGAAGCGTGTATTCAATTAATACTACTATTTTTGTTTCCAATTAATAATTATTAATTGATTATTGATTAAATTAAATAATTGTTATTTGTAAATAATTTTGAAGATTGTAAAACCAAAATACATTGTATTTGAGTTAGTAATTGAAACTAATCTACAATATAAATAAACGAAATTCATCGCAATAGTATAACAATAATATTTCAGCGCTCATAACACGATAATAACATTGCTGCCAAAAATGCCTAATAAATCTGACCGGCCTTTTAACCTTACCAAAAAAACGTTAACACAAAATAAAGCTCAATGTTTAGTATTTAATGTTAATACTGTAAAAGTAATAAAAATGAATAGAAAAAAAATCATTCCTTCATTGAAATGCTGTGCGATTGGAAAAAGTCTACCAAAAAACGCGAGGTTGTCCCTCCTACAGGTTAACTATAACAGCTATAAGTACTTAATTAATTCGTACATATAGTTAAATATAATTAAAACGTTGATAATTTAACGCTTTTATTTAATAAAAAAAACGAAAATAGTGCCCCTCTAAATAAATATTTTTTGGACTATGTTTGCGGACTGAATCCGCCACTAAGTAAAGAGTTCTTTTATTGTTTCATAATTTTATTTCTTTGCATATTATGTACAAGACATGTATATTATCTGTATGCTCTGGAACACCACAAGTGTTTCTTAAGTTTTCTAGATTAAGTAAACGGCCGCTTATACATATTATATAACATAATAACATAAAAAACGGAATATAACGATATAAACAATTATTATCCGGTTATTTTACTATACACTGGTTTTTCATGGTCAACCGAACTAATAATTATCAATTATTCAACTATTTAGATAAAGCAAACTATTAGAGTGATTAGACAAAGAATCAAATACACATTTATAAAAGTTAAGTCGGTTGATATTTAGTGTGTGCACACAACACGCGTATATTATTACCTTATTTAATATAAAAGTAAATTTACAAAAAAAAATTCTATGTGCAAGTATAAAAAAAAATACGAACTTGGCTATATAGATGGACCTATATTGAGCGAAAAATTGGCTTTACAGCTAGGGAAATATTGCTATAGATAAAATGAAATTTAATTATAAATTAATCAACTGAATACAAAATTTACATAAACCCGGATTTTTTTTAACGTTTTTTTTTTTTAGTAGCAATAGTATATAGTTATATTTATAATTTGATTATATTTATTATGTTAATTTAGCTTTTACCCATATCTATATTATTGAATTAGAAAACTGTGAAATCAGTATCAAAGTGTAGAGTTAGAAAATCCTCAACTACAAGAACCCCAGTGTTTTATAGTCCAGCCAAGTGTAGATATTCGGTACTTACCGAAATATATAAGGGTTTTTTATTGGGATTTTTCAGGTTTAACGATAGCCATAAAAACTTGACCGGACCCACTATATATATATATATATATATAACATAGATATTGGTATTTATTATGTTCCTGATACACTTTTCACCGGTAATTATACTAACCTTGCAGCCGATTCAATCGAGCACGCTTGTCTGGGTATGATTTCTACGGCCGGCATGCGGTTGGTCTCCAAGAAGAATATCGACTTGTTCATGTCTACTTCGTTGGGGTCCAGGGTTTCCAACCTAACGCATCCTTGGCCGGATCGATGAAACGGGTTGACGTTGTAGATCATGTTGAACGTGATATACACTATGGCCAAGATGTTCAAACATAAACCTATACAGCCGACCATGCGGTACAGGCGTGGGCCGCCGTTTAAAGCGCGGCGCATGTTTGGTCACACCACACACTGACCGTATTCAAAACCACTACTGAATTGACACTGATTTGTCGTTACTCATGCGTATCATCATAAATATTATTATTATTGTTTCTACTGTATCGCCGAACGCTCGTAGTACGCGTACGCTTCGTGAGCAATTGAATCAACCGTCTTTTTCTCAGACACCTTATTATATTTTTGTGAACACCAGTGTTGTTCCATGTTATCTTATCAGACGAAATTCTACGTAAACAATGCGTAATAATATATAATGTAGCACTTATTATTATTATTTATCACTCGTTTATTACTACTAATTGTTACCGGTAAATTTACATAATAAATATATAATAATACATAATAATGTAAATATATTTATGTGTGTGTATATATATATTATAAGTATTGAAAATTAACAGTGCAATGTATACCTAAAATTATAGGAAAATTTGAAAGTGTATGGCTAACATTTTTATCAAATTTAATTTGAAAATCGATAGAATATAAGGTCGTTATACCTAACGCTTATGGCGTAAGATTTTATAAATTAAAGTTCAGGGATTCTTGACAAATTTAAAGTACCAAATTTATTTATGCGGAAATAGGAGTATAACTTTTGGCGGAAAACAGAAATAGTGATAACGGTCTTGTAATATCTAGCTCGTCACTTAGAAGCCAGTGAGGTAGACAGTACTGGACAAACTGATAGGTTTTGGAAGCCAGTGAGTACAACGAAACAACACAAACGTTTATAACATAAGATGATATAATGTAATAGTTGCACGGTAGATATTGTACTGACTAAAAGCTTAATCTAAGATACTACTTTATGGAGTATTTATACGAGTTTTAACCATAGTGAATTTAGATGGTAACCGAAAATAAGGATGCACACGTCGACGTTGTCATCCGTCCTTGTCTCGTGTAGATGCATCGAAAGTCCCCATGTACATATATGGGTATGTGCATTGTGCATGTTGTACGTGATTGGTATACATTACAGTCTAATCTTTTTAGCGGAAAACGGAATCCCCGGTCGATTTTGTAGGCAAATAAGTACAACCGGAAATACAAATGTAAGATAACAATGTGCGCAAGCTAGTCATCCTGTAATCGTCAAAAATTGTATGATGTGCGGAAACGAGTTTTTACCATCGTCACTAGACTGTATGCTCTATAATCAATAATGACACATTGTCTATTAGAATAGCTCCAGTTGTAAAAATGTCTTCAGTTTTTGGATATCACAGAGTATATATTATAATTAAAACATTTTTTTTTTATACTTTGTGTACACTAAAATCTGTAACTAAAGAAATCTACATCTGAAGGTCTATTAATAGATAAAGTGTTATCAGACACAGATTTCATGTGAATTTTTCCGTTGTCAATAAAGTAATATCTCATTATCGTTTAAAGGGGTTATAGTGTGTAGGTCTGAGGTTTGAGCGTAAACAAAAAAAAACCTGTCAGGGTTTTGGGTTCTTTAGCCAATTCTGAATTTTTAAGTTGGCTGTGCTGCTTTAAGAGTATCAGCAATTCTACGGAGTTATTGAGCATTTTTAAATTAGTGACTTTGAAATATTTATTATAACGTCCCCAATAGTCGTATCGCTTACCTTTTATTATTATACAAATAATAATGAGAAAGAGAAAATTGTAAAAGAAAAGATGTTTTTCCGATTACTTCTGGAGATTAAATTGTTTTGATGTCGATGTGCGCGGCCGATATAGTAGTATGGGGACGTTAGGGGGAGAGGGGTAAGGCCCGGGAACGTTGAGAAAATATAGCCAGTTTTCAATTAGCATTGTTTTTAGAGAGCTTTGTGCACTTCTCCGTGGCATTTATATATATATATATGTACATCCCACGGTCTTTATAAATATATATATATATATATGTATTGCTTTCGTGGCATTATAACAGCGTCTCCGTGCGCAAGTAAGTATATGAACGCCGCTCCATGGTATTGCCTATTGTTTGTATTAAATCGTCGACCTACGTGCTACTGCCGTTGCTATACGGGCAACCACCTCTAGCGCAAGCAGACGAGGGTCGTGATCCCTTTTGGAAATCGGCGAACAAATATTTGCACTCGTGGGAAACGGGACAGATGACGGCAGCAATCATGTGTTTGGCCCGAGTTCGGTTTGTTCGTCGTGGCTGTCGGTGCTAGAACTGACGTTTCACCTGAGGATTGTCTCCACAGGTTACACATTATCCGAGACAACAATAAAAAAATAAGTTTAAAAAAGAAAAACCACTCGAGTGGAATCCGCGTTTTTAAATATTGGGCTTGACGATTTCTTCCACACGAATTTCTTTAAAGATCAACAATTTTTTTTTAACACAATTAACTCCCACGACTCAGTGACAATCTTAACGTGTAACATTGATTACGATTATGATTATACATTTATAACGTTCATAATAATCAAATTTTAATTTAATATAAAACGTTTTTATTATGAATGACGCCATTTTTATTTGAATTGCACTTAACAGATGTTTGTGTCCAACCATCACTGTATATTTTCCAATAAATTTACATAAAAATGTTAATAATACATTTCTTTTCGACTTACATTAGTTACAACTTAGATACGTTGACAGAAAAAATACAATATACACACAACTAATATATCGTAAAGCGGTTTTTCATATTAATTTTGAAATTTGATCGTTTGCTATACCTTACACACTCCCCAGATATATTTGCCATATATTCGGGTGTGTTCACCTTTGATAGCTCTAAATCCCGTTGACGTCGGTGTAATCCCGTGTATCATACTGCCAAAAGCTCTATTTGTGTTTTTATATACATATATGATTCAGTCTCCACGTCAAATTACATCAAGCACACGCTCCACTTACTATACCTGCTACTATCACGTTTATCGACCCGTTCACTTGGAAATTATATATCATACATATATATATATATATATATAATTATTAAATACCTTACAGCGTGACATTCATCGCCTGTTCGGTCGAAACGCGATATTACGTATTCGTTGTATTTGTTGTATATGACGACAGTGTGGGTGTAAGGGTGTCTTGGCGGTGTTTTTACAGGGCAAGTATATAAGACAGACACGGAGGAACAGAAGAGTAGGAGGGAGTTGAGTTTCGTCTGGTATTATTTATAACTCGGTAATATTGATCTCCATCACTCCTCTTGACAGCTTGCCGCCGGCTGCTGGCCTCCGGTTGAAATTAATATCGAGTGTGCCCTCCCCACCTCACCCCTGGTTGACCCCTCCGACCACTCTCCCCCTTGCTACAAGACTTTGGTCTCTCTTACCGCCGGTCTTTGGACTTGTATGTTTGTACATGCCGCCACAGCTTATGCGTTTATAAACGTACGGCGGCGTGTTTTGTGTATTATACACACGAATGCATACGCACAAAGTTATGGACCTGAAAAGCTTAAAGTTTAATAGGAATGCGCTTTCGTCGGCGGAGTATTAAACGGCTCGTCTTATGACACACACCCCGTTTACACAACAGTCTTGTACATATTCTCTTAGCCAAGTGCGAGTACATATTACTATACAGCAAACCTACATATGTTTTTTCATTTTCCGTGTGTGTGTGTGTGTGTGTGTGTGTGTGTGTGTCTATATAAGCCGTGAGATTTTCGCGTATGAATTTTTAATCCGTGGGATTACGTTGTGTTTGTGCGCCATACAACGATTATAGGGTGAAAAATAAATTATTGAAAACATAAGCCGTCGCCGCGAAGGTTATGTAGTATACATAAAATATTGAATTAAAAAAAAACTGCGATTTCATTTTTAAAACTTCCCATCACAAAAAAAGGATATAAATTGTCTACGATTCATACATTGGCTAATCGAATACATCATAACGAGATTTTTAAGTTGACAAACACTTAATTGTGGTGTTTTGCCAAAAAAAAAAATAATAATAGGTAAAATCGCAGTTATTTATTTGCCATCTGACGTATACTTGGAACATTTCTACTGCGGTACTAAAGTATTGTTTATGAATATTATGTAATCGAGGAATACATAATTTTAAGATACTAATAACACTAGACAATTAATAAAACTCAAAAAAAAAAAAATACAATTTGGTAATTTTGTGTATATTATTTAAATAACGTAGGTATAAATAGTATAATATCGAATAAAAACACTGATGAAATATTGGTTTGATTGGCCATAACATGTATACATTACATATGTATGTATTTATATATTATTAGGTTGTATTTATTGATTAGTATAATTAGTATAATTTATGATCAAAGCAGATCGTTCAATTTTTTTATGCTTACATAGTTCTTAGTATGCCATTATAATATTGTTATTTTACAAATTCATTTTTTAATGTAATACACCCAGTATTACAATAATTGACAAAGCGTTAAATTGGCATAATTTGGCTTCGATGAGAAAAGCTGGGAAGGTATTGTTTAGTTAAATTAAAAAATGTAATATAATTGTCAGGGTTTTATTCGTTTAACTAAAATGCGATTCTGTTTTTTTTTTTTTTTTTTAATGGTTCGGCTTAAATCGTTTTGTATTGTTAATGTTATATATTTTTTTCCAGGCGAGTGCGAGTTTCCCCCTCAATGGTCCGGCCGGTGGTTTCAGTCCGGCGTCAACCATCATATCCAAATCAATTCTACCAGCATACTAACCAAAGGGGAATGCGTGCAAAACATCAGCGACAAGTTCCTAATCGAAGACAGGTAACAGCTTGCGTTCTATATTCACTTGTTAAGATTTTAATTATACCGCGGTCGTGGTGCTTATTTATGTACGACCTGGCATTTAGGTCGGATGGCTTGTATACAGTATGTAGAGTTTATTTTGAGTGACGGATTTAGCGAGAGACGCGTGACAAGTCGTGGTTGGCACCGAACCGCTCTGCGTTAGATATCGCCCCTCGACTCATCGATCTCCGGCGTCGCCAGTTGTTGCTCATTCCACTATTGAACTAATGTTCAAGTCGGCTGTCGGTCTTAACCCGTTCATTTTTGTCCATATCGCGTTTATGTATTTAACTTCAAAAAAATACAATTTACACGCTGAATAAACCTTCTATGAAACGCTGATGTATTACAGATAAAACGATACCCCGCGGGCAAGGCGAAATCTACTTTTTATATTCACTAACAACCGTTGAATTCTATTATCAGGCTAACCGATTTTGCACCGATTGTCTCTTGTTAAAATATAATATGGACTAATAATTCCAATTAAGTATATTATATATAATCGTTACAGTTTTAAATAAAATAACAGTACATATAAAACGCGGAACAATCACTTTTTACCCAATATTTTTAGTAATAATCAAAACTTTCAAATTATACATATCATATTCCTCGCAATTTTTAAATGTATAACATGTTTAAGAGCTAGGGGGGCGCAGTGTAAAATAAAAAAATCGTTTGAAAGAAACACTTTGTATGTTTATATCTTTGATAATTTATTTAATATATTAGCTTTAGAGTGTCTAAAATTACCACTATTGTACTTAAAACGCACATTATTCGAAATCCCTTTTTTCCAAATTGGCGTTCAAGATATTGTAGGACGATCCATTAACAAAAAAAAACTTAATAAATTACCCGTTGATGTTTAATAATATTTGTATCGTTTATATTATTCACGTGTTATCCCAGGACTTGGTTTTGACGTAATCAAATTGTATAGTATTTAAAAACAATGTGCATATAAACACGTGTATACCGCCATAAATGAAATACTAAACAAATTGCTAGAGACCAAACGGGACAAATTTTAATTCGTTTATGACTATAATTGATATAACGAAACCCATTTATTGTAGACAAAGCATAAAACGATCAAACGTCAATTCGAAAATACGTCGAATACAAGTAAGTTAGTTTATTTCGTGACGTTCAATAGAAAGGAATCGGAATGCCGTCGTTCGGGGTAGGTAGGTACGTGTGGGTTTTTTGTATAGTCGATCCAATTGGTATTCAACCGTCTCCGTCACGCCGACTTCTTGTCGGAGGCACGATGACGTATATTCCAATAGGAATAAGATATAGGAACCCATAATCGAAGTCCTGTATAGAAAAAAAAAAAATATGAACGATGTCCGATGTCCCTTCGGTCTTGTTTTTCTTCCCTCGTTAAAGGATCCGATTTCTCTGATGTATGTATATACTGTACACAGCATCTTCATGTAGGTACATTATTCCCGTCTTGTCCGTTTCCTGAACGCGACGGCAACACGGTGTGACCAACTCAATCACGGTATGTAGATGGGTGGGTGAATGTGTGTGTGTGTGTGTGTGCTGGACCTATATGTAATAACATGTAGGCGAAGGAAAAAATGACGGCTCGCTCACAATTGGAATAAATTATACCGGCGGTAGTATTATAGTAACGAGAACAAAAGTGAATCGTATACATATATATAGCAAGTATAGTGTCGGGGAAGCGAGTAGGAAATAACGTGCAATGCACGTGACAGGTCAAATAAAAGTGGTCGACAAAACCATTGTTTCGGGCTCGTAATTTCGAGTTTTTAATATTTATAAAAAAATTATATATATATTTTTTTTTTTTCAAATCCCTACGCTCGTATAATCCCTACTCAATCCGCGCCTTTTTTTTACATATATATGTATATTATTCATATATATATATATATATATATATATATATATATATTGTTTTTGTTTTTCGGACGCATGATGTTATTGCGCACATTATATTACACCGGGCTCGTCATATTTATCGTACATTACCCGGCAGTAGGAGCGTGTACGGCATGGGAAAAGGGGTAACCGGTGGCAATTGTCGTTTCGGGTTAATTATTATTACCTCTCTCGCCCTTTCAAAAAACTATATGTTTTTTAGGAGTCGTGCCGTCGTCGTCGCCGTCGCCGTCATAATTATTATAATGAAAACCACCGTTGTTGCTTTTGTTGGTTGTCGACCGGCAGCGGCGCGGTTCTACCCCAACGTGGTGTGTTTGGCCTATGAGAAATAAGGCACAACAAAAGCGTGAAAACGAAGGTTTTTTTTTTTTTTTGCACATTTGTATTACCAGTGAATAGGACGGGGGCACGCTTTTCTCTGTACACGAAACTGCGGACGTCTACTACGTACATGGTGTGGTTAAAAAGAGAAAAAGAAAAAAATTAAAAGTGACAGCACTGCCATTTGTATTTTGAATTTTTTTTTTCGTGTAAGGACATCACAAAACGACCACGATTTACCGAGGGATAAAAACAGAGGACACAAGCAAACTACAATAATAGTTTTTTAGGGAAATTATTTATTTTTTTTTTTAACTGAAATGTTTACCATGTACGATAGTATAGTCTGAGCGCTTGTTTAATTGCCTTTTCGCTAAATTACAATTGAAGTTCGGTTTCATTCCACGAATCTCATGAGCCATGATAATGTTCACGTTCTGTTTGATGTCAATCCCCTTTTGAGGGCTAAAACGCCAAGATGAATATTATTCATGTTTTAAAATTTACAAGGGCATCTTTTTCCAGGTTAGTTTCTTTGTAAATTTAAACAAATTCCAACAAAAATCATACGTCATTTCAATCTATGTAGCAAGTTACTCAAGTTATTGATATCTTAATGATATGAACCTATTTAAAAAAAATTTTAATAATTTATAATGTTGTTTGGTAAAACGACACTTCTAGTTTAAGTAGCCATTTTTATTATTCTATTCAAGCTACTTTGTATTGCTGTTCTTTTCTATACTTGCTACTACCATAAACTCAAGGGCGCACTCTCCATGGAAACAAACGTTATTGTCCATGTATAATAACCACACGAGGGCATCGCTTCAAGCGGTGACCATTTTTTTTCTAGTATCACTCAAGAGAAGTGTCCCAAAGTGTTTCATCTCTATTGTTCCTATTCAAAGAATTCGACAATTAATAATTGAAACGATATTTTTTTTATTTTGTTTTGTCAAAAAATATAATAAAATTCGCGTAGGATGTTTTTTCATTTAATAAATGTACTACGACGTAGTACTACGACATATGTCAAATTATATGTCACATCCGTACTTTGGTCTGCGACAAGAGTGTTATTAAATCAGTTAACAATACCTTAGACTTGACACTCTTATTAGTCTTGTATTAGTTGGCATGTTTTGTTTGCTTTCTTTACACTATTTATTTTCGTCTGTATTCGGGTTATTAAGGTTTGCTTAAAATAAACCTGTAACCTGTATTAATAAACCTGAATCAATATTATTTTTTTAAATGTTGTTTTTAAATAAACGCAACTGCATACTTTAAAAAAAAAAAAAAAGAATTAATTTTTCTTTCCTAAAAAGTATTGGAATGTAAACTTGACAAGCAATATTTTTGAAGGGTTCTGTTCATGAAATGGGCTGAATGTGGTAGCTGAACTTGTTATAAAGGTTATTAACCTAACCCCAGTCCACTTCTCAAAACACTCTTCGAATAAAAAAGAAAACAGGGTGAAGCTTATGCGAGCGGTGCCCATATATACACAGAAATGCTATTAGCGGAAGGTCACTCTTGAGGTGAAAAAAACTTCAAAGGTTTCAGTACTAAGTTCATTTGCACCCGCAGAATTACAAAATAAGAAGGTGAAAGAAATAGAGGGGTGAATCAGGTTAGTGGAATTTCAAAAAAGGACGAGATCCTTTTGCCGTTTTTTCGTTTATGTGAGTGGTGTATAATATTATGTTTTATACTTATGGGTTTTTCTAGTTTGATGTTACACTATGTGTCCATTTTGTTCTCTTTTGAACCTTCTTATTCGATTAATAAATGTGTAGATATCTTTGTTCATTAAGAGACTAACTATATATCTCTACATATAGGTATATCGTTGGCTTTATCTGTATGTAAATAAAAAACATCTCAATTGTTTTTTAAGGACATGAACTAATGTATGAGCCGACAGATTATGATCCGTTTTGGACAGCAAAGCAAAAAAATTAATATTTAAAATACCCTTAAAATGGTTTTTACATATTTTTGTTGATCTATAAAAAGTTAAAAATATGGACAACGTAACGTGGTTGTTTGAACAAGGTAAATCCTTGAGTTTGTAATAAGACTAGGAAATAATAGAACCCTTTGTTGAATATGGAAGGAAGAAATATGCGCTGACATTTAAACAAGCTTCTATAAACCCAGTTTGCAAAACTTTACCTTTTTTCTTGTACCATTATGATCCTTCTTTCTCCAGGTATCATGGCGCATTCTTTAACCCCCATCCTACCGGTACAAGAATTTAATATTTCCTCGGTCTTACTTGTACACCACTAAAACATTCTATACTCTTAATGATAATCTTTCCCTTTCAGTTTCTTTCCTTGCTTTTGGAATGTGTTCCTTTTTTTAGAGCACGTGGGATGTTGACAGCGTATTGGTTGGATAAGAGAAGGAATGTTTAAAGAATCCATAATCATATATATATATATATATATATTTATCATCGGGAGTCTTGACATTTATAATTATTAATTTTTAACGACGTTTTATCATATACTATTCCCTCACTTTATTGTTGGCGTATGATTATAATGAGCCTTTAACTATATAATAGTTAATACAAGGCTAACATAACCATAACCATAACAAATTAAGAATAATAAACTTAGAAAAACCCGTATATTATTTAAATTGTGTATGATAGATGACTAATTGTGATATGATTAATAATGGTAAAAGTGTCCATATGTTAAGTTTTTTGGTTA